ACAAAAAAAAAAAAAAAAAAAAAAAAATTGCCAATGGGAAGAGGCACTAGGTAGATTATGGAAGGCACAACTCTTTTATAATATTTTTAGTGCTACTTATCTGCTTAACTGTGTGCAGGCATTATTTTGATAAAGATAAATGAAAAGAGAAAGGATAGAATTAATTGAGGCAATAAGAAGGGATAGAAAGTCTTGCAATATGAGAAGAAATAAAGGGATAGAGAAATTGAATTAGGATGAAAATTTATGAATAAAACATTGCAGTGTTATTCAGAAATATGATGAGTAAATTCCAGAAGAAATAGCTGGAAGATTTTGCCTCCAGAAAGGTGGACTGGGCAGATTAGGGAGGGAACTAGTGCTTCATAAGCCTCTAATACTGTTTGTCTTCTTAATTATATCTGTGCATTACTTTGATTAAAATTAATGAGGAATGAAGGGATAGAACCAACCCAGGTGATAAGGCAGAATATCTGGTGCATGAGAAGTACTGAAGGAATAAAGGAATTGAATAAGGAGCTGTTTGTAATAGATCCTGTGACTATGTGAGTAAAACCTGGTGGTGTAGATCTGGTGATTAAAAGAAAAGTACTTATCTTTATTAATAATAGTAATAATAATAAGTTAACATTTATTTGGGACTTACTACATACCAAACACATTTGTGTTTGAATACATTTATTTATTAAATCAAACTTCCCAAAAACCCTGTAAAGAATATATTACTGTTTTTATCATTATTATCTTTTCTCCCAGTTCTAGGTTAGGTCCTCCAGTAATATGCTCTAATTGCGCACAGTACTTTTCCTTTGCAGCATTTGTCACAACTAAAATTAAACAGCAACTGATGGAGTTTGGATGTGTTGTCCCCTCCAAAACTCATCTGGAAATTTGATCCCCAATGTGGCAGTGCTGGAAACTGATTGAGTCCTGGGGGAGGATCCCTCATGAATGGATTAATGCTCTCCCTAGGGGAGGGGGGATTAATGAGTGAGTTCTCGCTCCATTAGTTCCTGCGAGAGCTCGTTGCTTAAAAAGACCCTGGCACCTTCTCTTGCTTCCTCTCTCTTGCTTCCTCTCGCCATGTGATCTGCTTGTACCCACTGGCTGCCTGCCGCTTTCCACTATGAGTAGAAGCAGCCTGAGGCCTGTGCCAGATGCAGCTGTCCCAGAATCATAAGCCAAATAAACCTCTTTTCCTTATAAATTACCCAGTCTCAGGTAATTCTGTTATAGAAACACTAAACAGACTAAAACAGCAACTTTCTCGGTTTTCTGTTCTGTGCCTGTTTCCCCATTAGACGTAAGCTCTAGGAAGGCAGTGACTAGATTTGTCTTTTTCATTGTAATCTCCCCAGACTCTTGCAAATGCCTGAACATAGCAAACATTACAGAAGTACTTAGTGAATGAAAATGAAGCCACACGTGATAGATGAGGACAACTAGAGATTTAAAGAGGCCGAGAGGTTGGCCTGAGGCCAGGCAGCTGCTGTGTGGGGAAGCAGAGATTCACGCAGGATTTCTGACTGCAGGATCATGCTGTCAACACGTTACTTCAAGCTCCTGAGTTTAATTTCTGGTTTTTAGCAGAGTTCTTATCCCTAATTCCTTCCATTGTTGGCGAATAAGTTTAACATTTTAAAAGACCAAAATGTTGGTGATTTAGATAACCCTCATCACAGTAGGAGAATATGGAGAGGACAGAGGGTGCAGAGAGTAATCTAAAGAGAAAAACTCCTATGTGCATGGGGAAAGGGCATGAACTTCTTTCATTTATTCACGGATTTACTCAATAATTCTTTAAAATATTTAGGCTTCTTCCTGTCCCACTCCCCTACAGCAGCTGCTCCAAATGTTTACCTTCTTCAAGCTCTTCAAGCTGTTTTACTCAAACTTTTACCACCCCCTACTTTATAAAATGCCACAACTTCCTTCTCTCCCCACTTCCTTCAAAGTCTTACAAAGTTATGCATATTCACTATAGGACGCTTGGAAAATCTGTGTGGCAAGATGCGGGTTTATTTTATCCTTACCTCTTTTTCTTTCACTTCTCTCTCTTGGTTAGCAAGTAGCTTCTGGTGATAACAGAGATTTTTTTCTAGCACAATATGTCATCACAGTTAAACTATGAAAGATTATTGACATAATATGATACCATTACCCTCAATACCAAAATCCAAAATTCTCTGAAAATAAAGGATTTTTATAAACCATTTGGCATTAAAACCTAGCATGAATTAACATAAGGCTATAACATATTTATTTAAACTATTTGGGGTGAATATTCCCATGTTTTACAGTAGATATATTGATATACTTGATTCTGGATGTTGACCCAGACTCTGTTGAGTAATGTCGGGCAATATGTGTTATTTCCTTTTTATATTGGAAAATTCTAAGTTCTACAATATGTGTGATACCAGTGGTTTGGACAAGGGGGCACAGCCCAGCAATAACAGCAGAGAGCTTGATTTTCCTTGACAGAGCTAATCTGTCTCCAAACACTAAGAAGGGACTTCCCATTACTCTTTTAGGTGGACCTAGACTCTGGGGGAGAGAGGAAGGTAGGACAAGACTGAGGGGGGGAGGAAGGGGGAAAAAAGGAGAAAAAGTGAAGATGTTGGTATTTTGTGTTATGGCCAACATGTTTTACTTAAAAATTTATCACAAAAATAAATATACACTTGTATTTCTCATATATATATATATATATATATATATATATATATATATATATATCACAAATAAGTTGTGATATATAAAAAATATATCACAAACTTTTTAAAACTTAAAATTCTTATGTGGCAATATAATATCATGCTTATATACATGCCACATATCTAATGCAATATATGTTAATAGGACATAATATATGGCAATATTTATATAGCAATAAATATCCTCCTACAACGTAGTTTATTTAACTGATTACCAATTGTTGGACATTTTGTACCTGTATTCATGATACCATTTTTCCCCCTTCCTCCAGCACCTTGGAGGACTGATTAGGAGTACTGATTCCACCTGTATATATCTTTATCCCTTTCTTCTTGTGTTTCTCTTTCTCTGAGGCCTATAAAGATAACCAAGGCTCTCCCATCTGTTGGAAAAACAAAAATAAAAATAAGCCCTTTTCCTGACCATGGGTCTGTCTGGTACCTGTCTTGTTTTTGTTCTTCCTGCCACAGACAAGATTTTTGAAGAAAAAATATTCATTCATTCTCTCAATAACTTCCTTTCCCTTTGACTTCCCAACCCACTAGAACCTCTTTTTCACCCCACCATTATGAGACCAGGAAATTAACACCAAAATTGTACTCACTAATGCCAGTAATGGTAAATGTATCTCATAAATATGTCTGACAATTTCTTCCTTCTGAGAGTCTCGACTCCCTCGACACCCTCAAGAGTTCTCTTTTTAAATTCTCTTTTTATTTCTCAATCGTATTTGCAGGTTCCTATTCTTCTGTCCATTTCCTGCCCCAAACACTGGAGCTCCAAAAGGCTCTGCTTTTAGTTCACGGTTTTTTATTGTCTGTACAGTCTCCTTTGCAATGTCATTCACTCTTGCAGTTTTAATCACCAACCGTATCCTGTTGATTATCCAAACAGTATTTCTAAATCCAATCTCCTTTAAGCATCAGAACCACCTAGTCAACAGCCTATTGATGGCATCAGCAGAATGTCCCACAAGCACTTCACAACCAGCTCATCCAAAACTGAACTCACCATCTCCCCTCTGCCACCCAGTCTGCTCCTCCTCTTGCATCCTAATCTGTCAGAGGCATCTCATCCACCCAGCCACTCTTGCCAGAAACCTGCTATACTCGAGACCCTTCATTCCACTTTCCAGTTCCATATCCAATTAGCCACTGAGATCAATTTTCTAAATATATCTTAACTCCATACCCTACCTTTATTCCTACAAGCAAAATCTTGGTCCAGGCCCCAATAAGACTATTTTGATAATTTAAGTAATCTTTTTGACCTTTTTTTCATCATCATAGTGTAGCCAAAATGATCTACTCCAAAGCAGATCTGACCGCATCATTCCCTTGCTGAACACCTTCCACCAGCCGACCATCACTGCCAGAATAAATTTCCAATCTTAAGTATGCCAGGTAAGATCCTGCAGGATACGATGCTGCTTCCAGGTTTATCCCCCAGCAATCCCCGCTTCTCAGGTTGTGCCTTAGTAGCCCTGACCTGCTTGCTTTTCCCTCTATGCTCTGCTCTTCCATGCTTCCACACCCTTGCTCATGCCTCCACTCCACCTGGAATTCCCTCCCACTCTTTCACCTGGATGACAGCATCAATTCTGGAAACTTCCCTGTATCTTCAAATTAGGCTAAGTTCAGCTCCTTAGTACTCCTACAGAAAAAATGTGCCTTTTATGTTCTATCACATGCCAGCCTGTACCAAAATTATCTGTTCAAATGTCTTTCTCCCCTACTAGAGACTAAATTCCTCAAAAGGAAGGTCTATACTTATTCAAGTTCATATCACTTGCACTGAATATTTACCTGGCGTATATTAGGTACTCAATAAATGTTTGTTAAAATGAACAAGTATTGGAAGAGTAATTATCATAGAACAAACAAAATATTATGTGGTGGGCATATTTCCAGCACTCAAGGGGCTCTCAGTCTCAAACAAGTATGTGAATGATATGACATGATGTGTTTGATAAAATTAAGCTTAGGATGCTCTGGGAGCACATAAAAGAGGTACCTAACCCAGCTGGAAAGGTGGGAGTGGTGCGGCAGGAAGGGTCAGGTAGCTTTCTTCGTAAAGATAACATCCAAAAAGTTCTGTGAAAGATGAGTATGTGGAGCTCACCATAGACAGAGGAGAGAACCTGTGTGACATACCCAGAGGTTCTACAAAGGCTAGCAAATTGGAGGTGAGAAAACGCCTCAGTATTGCAGAAGCCCAGGGCACATGTGAGTAGAAGTGAGAGAAGAGGAAAGAGAGGAGGAAGTGACCACACACCAAGATCTTGTGAGCCTTTTATGTTAAGAAATTTGATTTGTCAATTAGGAATCAGTGAGGAATTTTAAGCAAGAGAGTGACATAATCAGTAATGGCTTTATGTGAGTATTATAATTATAGTATAGGGAATGGGCGGGAAAAAGCTGACATGTCAACAGGAATCCGTTAAAAAGATATTACCATAATCTGGATGTAAGAGGATGGAGGCCAGACCAAGGAAGAGGAGAGCAGAGAAAGAGGAAGACGGAGCCTGCTTATTCGTAGGGGTTCCATCTCACCACACTATCATAGCACCCCTTTATGTTGAGGGCTGTGAGATATTTGAATCTTTGTAGCAATAAACCATTCAACTGAACCATCCCAAAGGTCAACTCCAACTATCTCAGTCTGTACTTAGTGTCAAGCTCTTTATAAAGTAAGATTGGCATTAGTGAATATACAGGGGAAATGGCTATGTTTGTTCAGAGAGGAGATAGCACAGGTATTCCATTATCCATTCAAATTATCTGTAATTTGGATAATGTTAAATACTGGTACTGCAAATAGATGTTCTGCCTTTTCCAAACAGTTTAAAATTGGACTAACATCAAGGATTGCAAGATGTAGCAGATAAATTTAGTCTGCCCAACTAAATTTGAATTTCAAATAAACAATTATTTTAGTGTGTGTGTGTATATATATATATATCAAAAAGTGAGACACAGTTATGCTAAAAAATAATATATTGTTTATCTGAAATTTCAATTTAACTGATTGTCCATATTTCACCTGATAAGTCTTCTGAGACCAAAACTTTACCTGTAGGTAATAGCGTCCTTCAACAATATGCAGTCCATCAAATGCCCCTAGGGCATAAACTTCGTCTGATCTCTTCTCAGACATCTTGTAGCTTAGATGACAGCAGAGATCTTTCTGACAAACGGTGTAATTTCCCATGGCTCCTGTGAGCTCCACGAAGGTAAATTCATCAAAAAAGAGAATGCTCTTAAATTCCTTGTTTCCCCTTGAGAGTGCTTCTGTACTGCTGGCATAAGCAGTCCAATTTGCCACTACAGGGTGGTAAGGGTGGGAATCCAGTTGTGCGAGAAGGAGTTTTCCCTTCTCTGTCTTCATATCATAATGAAATGCTCTTGGAGAATCAGGTGCATAGATGCCACTTCCTGGAAGTAATAAGTTGGAGATGCCATTTGAAATAGGAAGGTGAAAAGGGATTTCATTGTTCTTATTGTTATTTATATTCATATTAACATTTCACTCCCTCTCAGCTATATATTTCATTAATTTCAGTAAAATATGTTGATAAGGACAGAGAGATAAGACGATATCCAAAAAAGTATGATATAAACAAGCCAGAAAGGGAGAGTTTCATGTAAGAAGTGATGAATTTAAAAAAAAAGAAAGAAAAAGAGTGTACATTGAAGTTGAATAAAACTAAATAAATTTACAAAACAATTTAGATTGAGATTGATTCTACAGAGTGTCACCAAGTAGATATTCAAAAAGTGAGTAGCTGGAAAACATTATATAAAGGAGTAGTACATGTTAGCTAGAAAAAAATGATTTTTTTTTTTTTTTTGCTTTTTTATTTACAAGCCTGTAAATCTTTTTTTTTTTTAAAGATGACTGGTAAGGGGATCTTAACCCTTGACTTGGTGCTGTCAGCACCACGCTCACCCAGTGAGCCAACCGGCCATCCCTATGTGGGATCCGAACCCCTGGCCTTGGTGTTATCAGCACCGCACTCTCCCGAGTGAGCCACAGGGCCGGTCACAAGCCTGTAAATCTTAACGATGACACATTACCTGTCATGTTCTTTGAGGGATAATGTATGTTGGATGCAAGAAAATTGACACCCGTGCCCATAGCCCATGCTGAGTGGAATTCAATAGCTGACAAAAGTGGCAAAACATTCATCCAAGCTGTTGGGAAGAGTATGGTGTCCACATGGAAATCTTTTACCAAGGTAATAGCAGGATCATGGAAGAGTATATCGAAGCACGTGAAAATGCCAAACCTTCCAAAGGTGGTATTGAAAGTCACAACCTCAGGCTCCTTGGGTAAATTGAATTGATCTTCTCCCATGAAAAGATTTTGCTGTGATAAACAGAAGATAAAGGAAAAAAAATTCTTTTATGAAGTTGGCCTGCACATCACTGAGTCTTAAAAAGTACCCGCTCACACTTACTAGATAGATCCGATTTCATTTATGACCACTGTCTTCACAGAGGAAGAGTGGTGCATTAGAGAATCAGAGACTACTCCAGCTGAAAAAAATTTTGGGTTCAATCTCCATATTTTATAGATATGTACACATAGATAAAGACCCTCTTGAATCTTACAAGACATAGAAGTGAAATAGATAACTTTTGTTTGCCAATAACACTTAGCTCTTTCCCATAAGCTAAGAACTTTGTTTACTCCTTTTTCCTCAAGACCAGCCCTATTTGGTAAGGAGTTCTTTATTCTAGTGTTGACCCATTGCTAGGGCATGTCTTTAAAAGGACACAATCCAAAAGGCGAAAGTATATTTCAATGCAGGTAGCTCTTGGTGAATCTCACACACTCCCAACAACACACTCCTGTGTTCCTAAGTGTGCAGGAAACTCCTTGAGTCTCTTTATAGGAACTTACCACACATGATCATTACTTTCTATGCTTTGTCTCTACTCTGCTTCTAAAGTACACATTATTATCAATGATAACAGTTTTTTTCCTTCTTGCCTACTTTAATTCATTAAGCATTCAATAATTATTTGCAAATTAATTTTACCTTATGGTAGCGTGCCACAAGTTTTCCCTGAGAATCAAATACCACATCAGTGTTGTATTGGTAACGGCCATCAGGAGGACACTGTGGGTCACTGGTGTTGCATGACTTCTTGTCTCCAATATTTGCTACAACGTAGATAGAGTTGTTCTTGGCCAGGCAGCTGAGTCTTTCTTGTACTGGGGTGTGGCCAAATCTGGTATATATTCAATAAAAGAGAAAACAAAATTTTTTAAATCAAGCTTAGCTTTTAATGAAATTCAGAATGATAGTCACCTGAACCCATTATTTAATATACACAAAAATAAATAACAATATGTAGATGAGAAGGATTAAGATAAGAAGGGAATTGAGAGGAAACCCGTGCTTGTGGGTATTTGGTTATAGAAAACTACTCTAGGATAAGATTTCAGGCCATGTATTTTTTTCTTCATAGCATTTATCATAATCTATAATCATATATTCACTTATGTATTTATCTTATAATGCCTGCAGCATCCTATAGATATTATGGGGCAAAGACCCATATATCTGGTTTACTGAACCCATGACTCACAGAAAAGAGACATTAAAAAATATTTTCAATGAGTGAACCAAAATGTGGATGTAGGGGGATCCTGAGAAGATGGCAGAGCGGGAAGTACCAGTAACCCCCACCTAAACAATTGCACTGGCAGAATCTGTCTCATGTAACTGTTTTGGAACTCTAGAGTATATCCAAAGGTTTGCAACTTCCAGGAAAAGGCTTGGGAACTAAATTGTGGTTAATTTCAGCCAATTTCAGGTCTTAGCTCAGCAGTAGCTACCTATCTCCCACACCCCAGCCTTGTGGCAGGTAGCCATGTATATTTCCTGGAGCAGTTTGCAGACAGCTTGTGAGCAAGGATGAGCGACAAAGACCCTATCTTCTAAATATCAGGGATCTGTGTTCTGATAGCTGATTGCTGTTTCTGATCATGGAGGTACAGACACAGAGCCAGGCAGCTATTGGTGTTTGTGTGTGTGTGTGTGTGCACACAGGCACACAAAAAAACACAAACACACACCCTATTGTGGTAAGCCCTCCCACCTCTCTCTATGACTGAAGTGACTTCCAGGGGACTTAAAGGGCCAGTGCTTTTTTTCTTTTTCTTTTCTTTCTCCTTTGGGGAGCCAGACACTTAAGGACTAAGACATACAAAAGAAACCAAATATACTAGAAAAATTAGAAAGTTACTACACACGCCCAGGGAAAGGTGTAGGCTCAAAAAGACCTGAGAAGACCTTAAGTTTATACCTCAAGCTGATTTCCAACACAGAAAAAGCCTACAACAGTCAAAAAAGAAAAACAAATAAATAAACACAGCAAACCCTGGGAAAGGAGGAGAATCTAATTTCCAGAATTACCATATAATAAGATTTAAGCATTCAGTTATAAATAAAAAAATCACAAGACATACAAAGAAACAGGAAAAATATGGCACATTCAAAGGGATAAAAATAAACCAACAGAAACAGTTCCTGGATACAAAACTGTGTTGTCTACCCTAAATGAATCATTGTGTCATATATGCATGTATTGAAACAACACACTATACCCCACAAATATGTATGAGTAAATGTTAAAATATTTTGAATTTAAAAAGAAAAGAAATGGTTCCTGAGAAAGACCAAATGACAGACCTACTAGATACAGACTTTAAAACAATGGTCTTATAGATATTCAAGGAAATAAAGGAAAGTATGGAGAAAGTCAAAAAAACAATTTATGAAGAAACTGGAAATATCAATAAAGAGACAGAAAAACCTAAAAAAAAGAAAAGAAAAGAAATTTGAGCAGGCAGAAGAAGAAATCTGTGAACTTGAAGATAGGACCATTAAAATTATCTAGACTGGGGAAGAGAAAGAAAAAAGACTGAAGAAAAGTTAACAGAGCCTTAGGGACCTGCGGGATACCACCAAGTGGACCAACATATGCATTGTGGGAATCCTAGAAGAAAAAAAGATTATTTGAAGAAATAATAGCCAAAAATTTCCCAAATTTCAAGAAAGACATAGATATGAACATCCAAGAAACTCAACAAACTCCAAGTAAGTAAAACTCAGAGAGACCCACACCAAGACACATATAATCAAATTGTTGAAAGCCAAAGACTAAATAAGAATCTTGAAAGTAGTAAGACAAAAGCGTCTTATAACATACAAGTGATCCCCAATAAGATTATCAGCAGATTTTTCATCACAAACTTTGAAAGCCAGAAAGCATTGGGCTGATATACTAGACAGCTGAAAGAAAAACAAAAAACTGTCAACCAAGAATCCTATGTGCAGCAGAACTGTCCTTCAAAAGTGAGGGAGAAATTTTAAGATATTCCCAGTTAAACAAAAGCTGAGGGAATTTGTTACCATTAGATTTGCCCTGCAAGAAATGTTCAAGGGAGTCCTGCAAGGTGAAATAAAAGGAAATGATGAAATAAAGATCTCAGTAAAGGTAAATACATCAGCAAATATAAAGTCTAGCATTATTGCAACTTCAGTTTAGAACTTCACTATTTGTTTTCTACATGATTTAAGAGACTAATGCATTTAAAAAAACAATTATTAGTTTTAAAGCTAGTGTTGCTGTAGCTTTGGTTTGTAAATCCATATTTTGTTTTCTACATAATTTAAGAGAATGACTCATAAAAAAATTTATTAGTCTATGTTTTGGGGCACATGATGTAAATTTGTGACATCAATAACTGAAAGAGATTGGGATCAGAGAAGAACAGGAGCAGAATTTTGTATGTTGTTAAAGTTAAACTGGTATAAATTCAAATTAGAGTGTTATAATTTTAGGATGTTAAATATAATTCCCATGGTAACCACAAAGAAAATAGCTATTGAATATACACTAAAAGAAATGAGAAGGGAATTAAAATTTTTCATTATGAAAAATCAACTAAATACAAAAGAGAGTAATGCAGAAAATGAGAGAAAAAGAAGCTATAAGCCATATAGAAAACATATAGCAAAATGACACAAGAAAGTCCCTCCTTACCAGTAATTGGTTTAAATGTAAATGGATTAAATTCTCCGATCAAAAGAGAAAGATTGGGGCCGGCCCGTGGCTCACTCAGGAGAGTGCGGTGCTGATAACACCAAGGCCCCGGGTTCGGATCCCATATAGGGATGGCCGGTTGGCTCACTGGCTGAGCGTGGTGCTCACAACACCAAGTCAAGGGTTAAGATCCCCTTACCGGTCATCTTTAAAAAAAAAAAAAAAAAAGAGAAAGATTGGCAGAAGGATTAAAAAACAATCCATTCAAGTTCTGATGCACTTAGGGGAAGAAAACAATGTAATTTAACTATATGCTGCCTACAAGAGACTCCCTTTATTGGTCAGAGTGGGGTGTTGTAATACCAAAGTTGAGGGTTCTGATTCCCATACCAGCCAGCCACCAAAAAAATAGACTCCCTTTAGATCCAAATACATAAATAGGGTGAACATGAAAGGAAAGAAAAAGATATTCTATGCAAATAGTAATCAAAAGAGAGTAGGGGTGGCTATACTAATATCAGTCAAGATAGACTTTAAATCAAAGAAGTTTAAAAGAGACAAAAAAGGACATTAAATATTAATATAAATATCTAGAATACATAGAGAGCTCCTAAAACTTAACAACACAATCTGACTTAAAATGGCCAAAAGAGTTATTGCCATCTTAGCACAGTAGGTAGCATGTCAGTCTCATAAAATGTGCAAGACTTAAATAGACATTTCTTTAAAGGTATGCAAATGGCCAGTAAGCACATAAAAAGATGTTCAACATCACTAATCATTAGATAAACACAAAGCAAAACCACAATGACTACCACCTTACATTAGGTTGGATACTATAAAAACAAAAGCAATAACAAAAAAAACAAAATAGCAAGTTGAGCAAGGATGTGGAGTCTATATCCAAAGAAGTGAAAAGCAGGGTCTCATACCCATGTTCATAGCAGCATTATTCACAATAACTAAAAGGTAAAAGCAACTCAACTGTTCATCTAAGGATGATGGATAAACAAAATACAATGGAATATTTTTCAGCCTTTAAAAGGAGTCCAAGAAGAAATTAAACAGTAAATCAAAAAATTTCTTGGACCTAATGAAAGTAAAGTCACATCATACCAAAACCTGTGGGATACAGCAAAAACAGTACTAAAAGGAAATTTTATTGCAATAAATGCTCACATCAAAAGAATAGAAAGATTTCAAATAAACAACCTAACTCCATGCCACAAAGAACTAGGAGAACAAGAATCAAATCCCAAAATTAATAGATGGAAAGAAATAATTAAGGTAAAATCAGAACTAAATGAAATAGAGACCCCCAAACTGATACAAAATATCAATGAAACAAAAATTTAATTTTTTGAGAAGATAAACAAAAGAGACAAACCATTTAGCTAGGCTAACTGAAAAAAAGAAGAGAGAAGACACAAATAACAAAAATCAGAAATGAAAAAGGAGACATTATCACCAATCCTCAGGAATACAAAGAAACATTAGAGACTAATATAAACAACTATACACTAACAAACCTGAAAACCTGGAGGAAATGAAAAATTTCTAGACACATACAAACTACCAGGACTTAAGCAAGAAGACCTAAAAAACCCGAACAGACCAATAACAAGCAACAAGATTGAAACAGTAATCAGCAGTCTCCCAACAGAGAAAAGCCCAGGACTGGATGCCTTTACTGCTGAATTCTACCAAATCCATTAAAAAGGAATTAATACCAGTTCTCTTCAAACTATTCCAAAAAATTGAAACAGAGGCCATTCTCCCAAACTCATTCTATGAAGCCAGTATCACTCTGATACCAAAACCAGACGAAGACACAACAAAGAAAGAAAACTACAGGCCAATATATGTGATGAACATTGACACAAAAATCCTCAACAAAATATTAGCAAACAGAAAGCAGCAACACTTAAAAAAATTATACACCATGATCAGATGGGATTCATCCCAGGGATGCAAGGATGGTTCATCATATGCAAGTCAATAAATGTAATACACCACATCAAAAAAATCAAGGACAAAAACCATATGATTATCTCAATAGATGCAGCAAAAGCATTTGACAAATTTTAAATCCTTCCATGGTAAAGACTCTCAGCAAATTAGGTACAGAAGGAAAATATCTCAACACAATAAAAACCATATAAGACAAATCCACCACC